GCGAAACGTGGACGCAAGAAGAAGGCTACAACGATTGCGGCAGAAGCGGCGGCGGCAGCTGCAGCGGCTGCCAAACTGCAGCAACAGCAGCAGCAACAACAACAGCAGCAACAGCTGCAGCAACAGCGCCAGCAGCAGCAGCAGCAACAGCAACAGTTGCAACAACAGCAGCAGCATCAACAGCAGCAGCAGCAGCAACAACAACAGCATCAGCAGTTGGTACAAAATCATCTTCACCCGTCGCAATATAACACGGCAGCGGCGCATATGTCACAGCTGACAAGCACCAGCTCAACTGGTACAGCACAGCCCGCACACCAAAGCTCCAGTGGGGTGCCCGCCCATTTGCAGGCGCATGCACAGGCGCTGCAGCAAGGCTTTCAACTGTACGCTGGCCTAAAAACAGGTGGTGTTGGCTCGCCGCTCTCGGCAGCAACCAGTTCCAGTTCGGCCGCAGCTGCTGCAGCCGCGGCGGCAGCCGTCAGCAATGTGGCTGCACACAGCGCGGCTTCAGCAACAGCAACATCTAATGTGTCCGCCACAAGTGGCGTTGATGTAGCCACAGCGATTTCGCTGAAGACATCCGCGGCTGAGGCGACCGGCATGGTGCCGGGCAGCGCTTTCAATTTCGGACCCACCCCTGGCAGCCTTGGCTTATATGGCGACCAAGCGGCAGCAGCTGCCGCCAGCAGCTACTTAGATCAATTCAGAGATGCATCCAACCCCTACTATATGCCACCAGCGCCGGCGCCCGCTCACCGCAACTCGGCAAGCGATGCTAGTGCGGCAGAGAAAGCGCAATCAGCGCTAAATCCAGGTGCATCGGCGGCCGCCGCTAGCGCTTACCCATTCTTGGCGGCGCACACAACACCGCGTGGCACCCCATACTCATTTATGCATAATACAGGCGCCTCACAGCTGGCCGATCCCAATTCTCAGCTATATTCCTCCTACTTGCGGCGAGAGGATTTCCTTATGTTCAATCAAGGGCTACTGGGACGTGGCGCAGGTGCAGCAGGCTATGGACAACCACCGCCGCCAACAGCCTATCGGCCATCCTCACTGGGTATGCCCAAGCCGTATGATATCAATCGATCATGGTTTTAGCAGTGCGCCAACAACACCGCCCATGATGAAGCAGTAGTCGGACAGACAGCAGCAGGTGCGGCAATGGCAGGTGGCGGTGGTGGTGGTGGTGATGGCAGTGGCGAAGCCAGCAACAGTAGCAGTGTGTTGGGCGGACAGCAACAGCAACAGCAACAGCAGCAGCAGCAAAGGGTGCAACATACTCAGCAACACCTGCAACAACAACAACAGCAGCAGCAGCAACATCAAACGCAGCTGTTAGATCAACACCGACAGCTACAAACACATCAATTGTGAAGGATGTCGCTTATTTACTGGTTGCCTTTCAAAATCACACAAAGCTGCCTCAAACATAACGCTGCGTATCAGCCACGATTGAAGAGAGTGCGAGCAGCATATATGCATATGCAGACGCGCTTTGCTAAAATGACAATTATCATTATCTTATGTTCAGCTTTAGTAGATATACATACAAACATACATACATACATACTACAGAGTAAAGTAAAAGTTAATTGAAGAAAAGGAACAAAAAAAAAATGAATAATTAAAAGATAGCGTAGTTGATGCAAACGTTAATTTAACATTTATGTTTATGTCTAACATACATATATAACTAAGTTTACATTAAAAAAAAAACCTTAAACTAATTACACGCTAAGCCAAAGTGTAGCCGCATTTACACTGAAAAAAAAACAGTACTAGATTAGTACGATATTCAGGATTATGATTATGATTAAGCACAAATTGTATTTATGCTAAGCTATAAAAATATTGTTGTTGTTGGCAAAGTCGGCCGCAACAACAGCAAGAAGTAAAACATATGCATTTGTACATTTCTGGCTGCATTTGGAAATTGATGCTGAGTTGGTGAAATCCGG